AGAAAGTGAAACATCCTTACTGCTAATACAGAGAAAGTTTTAGTGAGTCTGAATGGAATATCAAACCACCCACAGCATTCTCTTAAACCAAAGCCTAATGCAGAGCAAGGCCCTAACTTTCTTCAATTCTGTGAAGGTTAAGAGAGGTGAGGAAGCTGCAAAAGAAAAGTTTGAAGTTAGAAGAGTTTAGTTCATGGAGCTTCAAAAAAAAAATAAACTGTCTTCATCATATCAAAGTGTAAGGTAGGGAGGAAGAACCAATGTATAAAAGCTGCTATGAGTAATCGAGAACATCTAGCTAAGGTAATCGGTGATGGTGGTTACACTAAACAACAGATTTTCAATGTAGATTAAACAGTCTTTTATTGGAAGAAGATGCCATCTAAGACTTACAGAGCTAGAGAGAAGTCCATGCCTGGCTTCAAAGCTTCAAAGAACAGATTGACTCTTGTTAGGGAATAATGTAGCTGGTGACTTTAAGTTGAAGTCAATGCTCATTCACCTTTCCAAAAATTGCAGCGCCCTTAGGAATTAAATTAAATCTACTCTGCCTGTGCTCTATAAATCACAAGAAAGCCTGGTTGAATCGACTTTCCATATGACCCCACAATCCCCCTACTGGAAATATACCCAGAGGAACTCAAATCACTCTGTGGAAAAGACACCTGCACACACATGTTTATTGCAGCATGATTTACAATAGCAAACACATGGAACCAACTGTGCTGCACATAAAAAGAGAACTGAGTAAAAAAAATATGATAAATATACATGATGGAATATTATGCAACCATAAAGAAAGACAAAATTACGAACTTCGCAGCAACTTGGATGAATTTAGAGTCCATAATACTGAGTGATCTATCAAAGAAATAAAGAACTGAGTATCACATGTTCTCACTCCTAAGTGAACCCTGAACAATTATTGTAATACTATAAGAAAAGAATTGGCAATAGTGGGAAACTGCTAGGGAGGGACAGGATTGGTAGTAGTGGGAAAATGCACACCTCACCAACAAGGGTATCTGTATAATGTGTATTTGTATACCTAACCCTGAATTGTACCCCACGTCTTTAAAATGAAAAATAAAAAAAAAGGAAGCCTGGAGGATAGCATATATGTTTACAGCATGGTTTACTGAATATTTTAAGCCCACTGATGAGACCTGCTGCTCAGAAAAAAATATATCCTTTCAAAATATGACTGCTCATTGACAAAGTACCTGGTCACCCAAGAGCTCTGTTGGAGATTAATGTTGTTTTCATGGATGCTAACATAGCATCCATTCTGTAGCCCATGGATCAAAGAGTAATTTCAACTTTCAAGTCTTATTATTTAAGAAATACATTTCATAAGGCTATTGCTGCCATAGATTATGATTCTTCTGATAGATCTGGGTAAAGTACATTGAAAACCTTCTAGAAAGGACCGACCATTCTAACTTTTAAGACATTTGTGATTAATGAGAGGACATCAAAATATCAACATGAACAGGAGTTTGGAAGAAGTAGCTTCCAGACCTCATGGATGACTTTGAGGGGTCAACACTTCAGTGGAGGAAGTCATTGCAGAGTTGGTGGAAATAGAAAGCAGAATTAGAAGTGCAGCCTGAGGATACAACTGAATTGTTGCAATCTTATAATAAAACTTGAATGGGTAAGGAGTTGTTTCTTATAGATGAGCAAACAAAGTGGTTTCTTGAGATGGAATCTATTTCTGATGCCTAGTGAAGATGCTATGAACATTGTTGAAATGACAGCAAAGGAGTCAGAATATTAAATAATCTTAGTTGACAAAGCAGCAGCGGAGTTTGGAAGGATTGACTCCAATTTTGAAAATTCTACTGTAAGTAAAATGCTATCACACAGCATTGCATGCTTCAGAGAAATCTTTTGTGAAAAGAAGAGTCAATAAATGTGGCAAACTTCATGGTTGTCTTATTTTAAGAAGTCTCCACAGTCATCCCAACCTTCAGCAACCATTACCCTGATCAGTCAGCAACATCAAGGCAAGACCTTCTGCCAGCTAAAAGATACAATTCACTGAAGGCTCAGATGATTGTTAGCATTTTTCAGTAATAGAGTATTTTTAAATTAAGGTATATACTTTTTTAGACATAATGTTATTGCACACTTAATAGAATACAGTATAGAGTAAACGTAACTTTAATATGCACTGGGGAACCAAACCATTTGTGTGACTCTCTTTATTGCAGTGATCAGGAACCAAACCAGCAAAATCTCCAATACATGTCTGTATTGGTACAAGAGTAAACTGTCAGAGGAAAAGAACAAAAAAAACCCCAAAATAGCCCCTGTTACATACAAGACTTGAGATTTTGATGAAGTTTTGATTTTTAATCAATGGCAGAAATTTGAATTAGTCACTAAATGATGTTGGGACAATTGCATAATAACTTTGAAAAAAGATATTTCCTAACTCACACCCTATTGAAGAATTCACATATCTTTCAAAAATCACAAAATAATTATAAGTAAATATAGTGAAAATTTATCTGACATGAGAGCCAAAAAGACTTTTTCAGCACAAAAATAAAGGAAGAAAATATAAATGAATAGACTGAATTGACTATCCCCAAATTTAAACTTTTGGTACAAAAATAAGGAAACAAATATTTGAAAAATAGGATTAACGCAAGCATTTGTCAAGCTCATCTTATTCAGTCCTTAGAATTATCCTATAAAACAAATATGATTATCTCTATCTCTGTCACATAGAAGAATAAACTGATATTTAGAAAAATTAGTCACACAGCTAGAATCTAATGGCACCAAGATTCAAAACCAGGTCTGCCTAACTTCAATATACATTCACTAACCACTTGACCATACTGCCTCTCACGTGTGACAAGTGAATCGATTCTTGGGACATAAACAGTTCTTAAAACTCAATGATAAAAATAAAAGGAATCCCAATAAAAATGGAAAAATACAAAAACAGGCAGTTCACACAAAAAAAATACAGCTAGTATAAACATGAAGAAATGCTCACCATCACCATATGCAGAGGAAAGCAAATTAAAATGAGACACTGTTTTCCATCAGCAAAGATTTTATTTACTTATTTTTTAATTATTCTATATTTGGTGAGTTTACCCATTAACAATCTTTGGTTGCAAGCAACAGATCTGAATGTCGGGTTGTTCTCTTTAGAGCACTGCCTTCTCTCTTCAGGACTCTAACGGAGGAGTGGGCGAGTAGCGGTGAGGAAAAGTCCGATGGGTCTAGCTCAGGTCAAGTGCCTTCATCTGTGATAGAAGTACCTGTTGATTGGCAGCCAACCAGAATTACAGGAGTCAGGCAGAAATAGCTCCACTAAAGGAAGAGATTCTGGGCAGACAAAAACATCAGATGTCGATTGCAGCACATTTACTTCCTGTCTGAAGTTTAACTTGACCAGATGTATCCCAAACCCTGGAAAAACAATCAAAACTGTGACCTAGAATTTCTACAAAGTTACTCTAAGTAAATGATCAGAGATATGACCCCAAAATGTACATAACAATTGCTATCACAGTTTTATTTATGAAAGTGAAAAATTGGAAAACTACATGTTTCATAATAAGGGACTGATCATATGTATTCTGGCATATCAAGCTTACAAAATACCATGTAGCTGTCAGAAAACATCATGCTTAGAGAACATTTCACAGCACAGGAAAAAGTCCACAAAATAATCTTCATTAAAGAATAATTTAGTCAATGAACGTGTATGATTTGTAATCAGAACAAAAATAGCTCATTCATTTTCCCTCCAAAATATAGCTGCCAAGGAGGAGCCAGAATTCCAAAAGTAACATCAGATCATAGAAAACAGAGCCCCTCTTATCCTGAGAGCTTAGAAGACTGCAGGAGAGATTCCAGCTAAGCCCAAGGAAGAACTTCCTGACTATGAAGGTGTCCTGGACTGGAATGGAATGTCATCCTTCCTTCTCAGCATGAGATGAAGTATTGCTCTGCTGTCAGGGCCCAGGAATTAAATGGGGATGATGAGCAGGCAGTGGAGGAAGTACCAGCTTAGTCAGGAATTAGCTGTGTGTCCTTGAACCAGTACCCTCCCATCTCTGGCTCATAGTTTCCTCATCACTCAGATGGGAGGACTGAAAGGATGAACTTGATCTCCTTCAGTGCCAGTAGAGTACTGTGTTTCAGTGAAATTTCTGTTTGGGGTGCCTTAGGATCCCACGCCTTAGCTGCCTCTCTTCCACCAAATGCAGGCGCCAACTTCACAGATGTGAACTCTAAGGGGAGCGTCCCTGGGTGAGATGACATTGTTGTTCAGAATCTGCTGTGACCAGCAAACTTAGCCAAACCGAAAACCATACTCCACCCACCCCTGACAACCAAGCCAGCCCCAGGCTGAAGGTAGCGCTACCAGATGCCACTGCAGGTGATCTCACCAAAGGCGGGCGTTCTCTCTCCCATCCACAAGGCCCAAGAGGAAAAGACCGGGGCTGACCTCACTCACCGTGCCAGCCGGGGCCAGCCTTCTCTGGCAAGAGCTCTGGCCCTAATCCTAATGCCCTCTTCTGCCCTAGGCATCCAGAACTCTGCAAACCCCACCTTGCTATTTGAAGCTAACCTTAGAGCTACCTGAACCTAGGCATTGCAGGGGCTTTAAGACCTTAGAGAGTCAAGAAAATGAATATCTGACATAACAATCTTCATCCTATATACAGATGACGAAAAACTGAAGCCCAAAGAGGGACAAGACCTTCTCAAGATCACAGCCAGTGATATGGACAGAACTAGATCTGTGTCCCTCAGCACCCAGGACCTGCCTGTCTTCAATTTTTGCGTAAGTTCTCCTTGCACAGAGGCCTTCGGGCATGGGGTGGGGCCAAGACGAAGCAGACACGTGTCCCTCCACCACCCACTCTCCTTCCTCCCCTGACTAAGCTGCTCTGGCCTCCCTGGGGCTGCAGGTGTTCATTTGGGGGCCCTTGGCCCTGATCTTATTAGGTGTCAGCAGCGGAAACATGAGGGTCCAGAGCCTCCTACTCCTAGTGGCCCTCCTGGCTTTGGGAAGCTGGCTGCCTTCTGCCTCTGGACGAAAGAAGGGAGGTAAGTGTCTGCTCCAGGGACTAGATGGTGTCTACCTTTCTGGGGAAAGTAAGGGTTCAGAAGGCAAGTAATTCAGTGTGTGTGTGTGTGTGTGTGTATGTGTGTGTGTGTATGTGTGTGTGTGTGTGTGTTAGTGCCTCCAGGAGTCTGTGTTTTCATCTTTGTGCCGATCCACCTGCCTGTCTGTATCTGTCAGGATCTTTCTGCCAGTTTCTCAGTGCTTGTCTGTGCCTGTCTATATGCAAGGGCATGTGTGTGCCTGTCTCTGATTAGAAATGTGTATTTGTGCCTGACTGTGGGAAGTTCTGTCTGCACACATACACTTAGGAATGACTGCATCCATGTGTGTCTGAGCTTGTGTGCCCATATATGTGTATACATGTGTGTCTCTGTGCCTCTAGGTCAGGGAGGGAAACTGTCCATGTCTGCCAGTCTGTAGTATGACTGGGTCCATGGGTCAACAGCCCAATCTGTGGAAAAGACTTGGGAGTTGAGGAAGGGGTTTGGCTTCTGTGATCTGGTATCTGTGAGGGGAAAGCTCTGTCCCTTTCTGTCTTCTCCTTCCACCTCTCATCCCCATTCCCATCCCTGACAATGCTAGGGTTGGCCTGCTGACAGGGAAGGAAGGGCTGTCAAGTGGCTAGACAGGTGACTCCTGATCTGGGTGAAGCCTCCACCTCCATCCTCTTCTGGAGCTGGAATGCCCTGGCCTACATTCACCTGCACAGCCCTGGCCCTGCCTTAGAGAAAGGGGACAAGGCCAAGGAAAGAAGGACACTGGTAAGTTCCAAGGCCAGACACTGTGTTGGCCGTGACTCAGGCACCATCACCACACAACTCCTTACTGCGAAACTCCGATGTTAGAACTATGTATTCCCATTTTGCAGATGAGGAAAACCGAAGCATAGGAGGAAACCACTTGCCCAAAGACTGACTCTGAGTTAGTGTCAAGGTGGCATCTGAATATAGGTCTTAGGAATTAGAAAGACTCGCCTCGACAACTTACTTCTTGTAAAATGAGATCCATGATTCTCAGAGGTAAATGGTGCCCCAAGTAGTAATGGCCTGGTACACAGTAAGTGCAGCATAAGTGCATGATTCGGAGAAGCCACTAAGGTCCCGGGGGCACACCCTAACGCTCAGCTCAGTAGCTCAGAGGCAAGAGCTGGTGCCAGTGAAACCTGAGCCTGCTCAGAACCACTCCACTTGGCCAGGTGGCACACGCCCCCAGTTCACCGCATCCTGTCTTTCCATTGTTTCTCTCCCATGAGACATCTGCCTGCCTGTGGGTAGAATTCCAGATAATGAAGAGGGATGACAGAGCTGAGAGAAGGGAGGTCTCAATTTGTTGTGCGTGGAAGTCCAAATACCTCTGTTTACAATGTCTGGGTGCCTCTGATACAAAGAACATGGCACAGTACCTAATAAACAGTAAATGCTTAATTACATTATTTCAGTGGTTACATAGTATTGAGAATACATGTTTGTCTGTGTAGCTCTGTGCATATGATTCTGTATATATGATTTGTGGGCATATATAGTTTCTGTTCACACACATATGCTATATATTCATATACATGACTGCATATGTCTGAGTATATGTGTAATTATGCGTGTCTATGTGTGTAAGCATATATATACACACACACAACAGTACGCTTATATATTTGACTATATGTTTATGTCCCAGTTTGTATGCATATATGACCGCCTGTGTTTATGTATGAGTTTGTAAATATACTGCATACTGTATGCATATATATATCTGATGTATGTCTGAATGTGTATGTGCTATGTGAGTGTGTATAGGCTGAACCATGAATTATTTTTGTGGATTAAAAAAGTTGACTATATGCAATTTCCTAGGGTTAAGCCTATAACTAGTGTGTATAGATCTAAGTGTGCTTGTATATTTCACTGTATATGTGTGTCAATGTCTGTGTGTATAATTACATATGTTTAACCATGTCTGCATATGATTATTTTGCTGAGTCTGCACACTGATGGCATATGCATCTGGGTGGCCATCTGCGAGAGGATGACTGTGCCTCTGTGTACACATTTGTGAGTGGGAACCTGGATTTGGAGGGAGGGTTAGGAAAGGCAAGTGAACAGAGTGAGTGTGACCGGCCGGTCCCTCCCACACCATCTCTGCACACTCCAGGCTTTTATTCCCACCTCCACACTGCAGCTGTCGCAGTTCTCCCCTCTTGAAATGCCAGCTGTCACCCTCTCTCCCTATCTGTCTACTCCTCAAGGCTCAGCGCTGGGCCCTTCTCCCCCAGCAGTTCTTCCTGCCTCTCTCCTGACCCACCCAGGTCCACGGAGGGCCTCCAAGGAGGTCCCTGATTTGAGTGCAAGCAAGTCTTTGAAGCCTGAGCACCTTTGGCCTGGGCTTGTGATTTCAGGGCTAAACCCTGGGCCTCAGACCGTTTCCCAGGGCCCTTCCCACCACACCACCCCTAACACTCAAGCCCACTGCCCCGCCCCCAAGACAGGCTAGTCCAAGTAGGGACACTCTCACAGGCTATGCAGCTCTTTCTCCAGCAGGGGGCAACAATTCAATTTAAACCAACCCAATCTAACAACTGAAGTTGACTTTGAGCTCTTAAGGAGTGAGCAAGGTGCCTACCTATGTGTGCAGCCAAGCAGAGGGCTGAGGAGGCTGAGGGGTTAGGCACAGAGGTAAAGTCACAGCACTAGATCCAGCACCACAGGGAGCTCTTAGGCCTTTCTCCGGTGCTAGATTGAATTGAAGGCCTGGCACCTGCTCCATCCTCACGGCTTAAAGTCAGCCAGAGCAGAAGATGGCAGGGGTCAGAGGGAGCTAGACCTGGCACATGTGGATCCGGGCAAGTCACTGCCCCTTTCAGTCCTTAATTTCTTCCCCTAAATAGAGGAGCATACTGGTTTCCAGGCTTCTGTGTGAAATCTAAAAATGGCCCAAAATCTCAACAAGAAGAGTGGTTAGGTAAGCTATGGGACAGAACATTCTATAACTGTTCAGAGGAACACTTCAGAGACAGAATTAATACCTGATCTCCAAAACCATACCAGTTGCAACTATGATAGCACAACCTTGGCCAACCATGGCCATGTGACAATGCACTCGGCTGCCCACGTGCTATGCTGGGCGTCATTTCAAAACCCTTTCTTTCCAGTAGTCACTGAGCCCCTAGTGCTACAATAGGGACTAACATGATAGGGTTACCAAGAGCCAAGGTAGGGACTAAGGGTGTCCATCCTCATCGCCTCCAACCAAGTGAGAGATGCAGACAACAAGATGGAATTGCAAACTTTGAAGGAAAGACACTTTAGAAAGAGTGGAAGCTGACCTAGTTAGTGTGGTGTCAGGGAAGTAGGTCTTCTGAGGATGTGATGTTTCAGCTGAGACCCAATGAGTTGAGCGGGTAAATGGAGTGTAGGAGAGCATACCAGGCAGAGGATACCAGAGTCAGGACCCTGTAAAGAGAACTGGCTTGCAACAGGCCAGGAGCCACTGAGTAGAAGAAAAATAGAGGATGAGGCTAGAGAGATGGGTGGGGTAGACTAGGCATGACTTTATTGGCCACAGTGGAGATTCTGAACTTCATTTCCTCCTATCCTTTGTACCTTCTGAGTCTCAAATTGGCCCTGGGAGAAAGAAATCCAGCTTCTCCTTTCACAGCCAAAAAAACTGAGGCCTAGAATCAGAGAAAAAAAGTTACCAAAGGACAAGCAAGAAATAAGGGATGGAGAATTCAGATCTTGGGATTCCCAGGTCAGCACTTGTTCCATAACTCTGAGCTGCCTCCAGCTGCAAGATCTAGGGGATTTCTCTTACAGAGAAATCAGGGGGCTGCCCGCCAGATGATGGGCCCTGCCTCTCATCGGTGCCTGACCAGTGTATAGAAGATAGCCAGTGTCCCTCGACCATGAAGTGCTGCTACCGAGCTTGCTTCCGCCAGTGTGTCCCCAGAGTCTCAGGTAAGTGCCGCTCTCCACCTTGCTGACTGCCCAAGCCCAGGACCCAGGGCCAGTGGACACTAAAGAGCTCACCCAGGCCCCTGTGTTGCAGTAAAGTCAGGCCGCTGTCCTGAGGACCATCTGCACTGCCTCAGCCCCATGAACCACTTGTGCCACCAGGATGTGGACTGCTCAGGCAAGAAGCGGTGCTGCCTCAGTGCCTGTGGCCGAGATTGCAGAGACCCTGCCAGAGGTATAACTCCCGGGTGCTCGGTGCCAGTGCCTTCCCTGTCCCCCGGGTGCCCGGGGCAAGTGCCTGCCCTCTCTGAGCTCCAGCTCTAAGATTTTCTTCCAGTTCTACAACAGGATACCTCCCCAGAAGCCAGGGCCTCCTGTGGCCAGAGCCGGGGAAGTGGATAGGGGTGGGTGGGAGGAGTCCTGTTAAGATGGCAGAGGAACTAGGGATCCTTGGTTCTTTCACTGAACTTCCTGTGGCACCTGGACCACATTCCTAAACTGCCTTAGGCTTCAGTTTGCCCTTTTGAAGGAGGCTGGGGGAGTCCTGCCTTAGGGCTGGGCTGGGTTGGGCTGACAGGGCCTGGATATGGGCATCAAGCCCAGAAGCCAGAGCCCTATTATGAGCGGGTCTTTTTTTCTTTCTCTCTCCTCAGGTTAAATATGGTTTAGGATCCACTGCTCTGTATCTCAGGTGGGGTTCCCTGCAAGAAAGAGTTGACGATGGGGGCGTCTGGGACCCTGCCACCCAGACAGCGCTCTCACCACCAGCAGTAAGTCCAGTCTTCTGACTGACCTGCTGTCACTTCCCTGCCACCCATTCAACACTGGTTTCTCCTCCCGGGAGTCAGCGTCCAGAGCCTGACCTTCAAGGAAGCCCTTTTTAATCACCCCAGTACCCTGTGCCACTACCATGAGCTTCTCACTGTGCCTAGCGGCCACCTCTCTACACTTGTTGCTCCTCCACCCAAAATGCGTGGTTCAGGCACACCCTGACCCCACCTTCAGCAGCCCAACCACCCAGGATGTATGTTCTAGCAGAGTTTTCCAAATGTCAATCCACACCACACACACACACACACACACTCTTTTCACAATTTTCACCATGCCTGCAAAATAGCACCATGATTTATTGCACACTGCCTGTACTACTTATTACTTATTATTTACTTATTTTTCTTTAAATGTCTTACTTTTGTATACAAATAAATTAATTTCAAAAGAAAATTGATATCAGTACTATAAAAGGGATAGACCACTCACCACAAACAGAGTGCAATTGTGAAAACCAATGAAAAGAGTTCAGTTCCATTCAAGGATATCATGTCAGATTGAGCTATATTAAATAATGTTATTAAACTCTAGCTAAACATGGCCACCCACCAAGACTGAGCCTGAAGACTGCTCTGTTTAATCAACAGAGATTTAAAGGGTTAAGGAGATGTGAAAGATGCAGATCTCCAAATGAAGACTGTCTCCCTGGGTAATCAGAAGAATTGAAAAGGGAATAACCTTCTCACTCCAAGAGTCAATGTTGTGGTACACACTGAGATCATTTCAAATTTCCCCAAATGTGAGGAAATTTGGGGAAAAGCAGTTGGAATATCATGATTATGGCAGATCTGTCTCTACCATCGGGCCTTGACTCACCTCATTTGCCTGTATTTCTCCAGGCCCTCAGGGTCTAATGAGTGTTTCTTGGGGGAAGGAGGTGACAGTGAAGGAATGACAGCCATCCTAAGGGACATTCCTGGACCCACACAGCTGAATCCTTGACTCTCACTCTCACCTAGGACTTGCTTTGAGAAGGGGAAGGAGGAGTCAGTCTCCTCTCTGCTCTATCTGCAGGGTCTCTCCTGTCCTGATAGACTAAGAGGTTGAGTAGTCACCTGTGGAGGTAACCTTGGGAATCCTGGGTCTTCCTTCCCAGTTCTCGTGACCTTGCTGTGTGGTCACAGGTGAGTCCTTCACCACTCTGGGTTTCTGTTTGCCCTGTTGGAAGACGGAAATAATTCTACTTCCTCACCCCGATAGTCCTTCTCATGGGATTCAAATGTCCGAACTGTGATTCAAAAGTAGCAAATGCTAAATATACCATACAAGGCAGGATCTGGGAGTGAAGAAAGAACTATTTTGGAGTCCCTGACTCCGTGTGACCTTGGATATTTCTCTTCCTCTTCTGGGCCTCAGTTTCCCTATCTATATAACCTCGGGTAGTACACAGATAAAATGGCAGATTGTATTTTTCCCCCATAATTGCCCCTTCCCTCCCTATATTCACCACGGCTTTCCTGGGAGAGTGTGTACATCCTGCTCTAGTGATTTGGGGCTTGGCCGTGAAACCTGTTTTGACTGAAGGGTTGTGGATTGAAGCGAAGTTGTACCTGTCAGAAGAAGACACCAGGTTTCTTGGAGCTTTCAACCTCTTCCATGAGAAGAGCTTGCCCAGAAGCCACGGATCTCCGCAGAGGAGACACACGGAAGCTGAGCTGTCCTAGCCAAGCCTCTAGCTTGCTGGAGATAAATAAATATGCATGGTAAGAAGCCATGGAGATGCAGGGTTTGTATGTTGTGGATGTGTCACAGTAAGAGCGTAATTGAGTACTACTAATTAGTAGTCTGTGGTGAATGCCCATTTTATGTCTCCCACCTTAAAGCATTGTTTCATTCGTCTATTCCATAACCCTGAGAAAGGTGGGCATGGTTATTCCCACTTGACAATGAAGAAATGGCAGCTTTGAGATAAGTGTCTGGCCCAAGATCTCCAGCTGAGAGGTGACATGGCCAGGATTAAACCAAACCATATTCCTCCTTAGATGTTCATAAAAGCAGCGACAATTACAGAGTCAGGTGTGCCAGGTGCCATTTTAATTACTTTACATGTATACTCATTAAATCCTCACAGCATTACCAGGTAGGCTTCATTACTTTTTCCCATTTCACATATGATGAAACTGAGGCACAAAAGAGGTTAACCTGGCCAAGGTCATACAGCTTATAAGTAGTAGAGCTGAGATTCAACTCTGAGCAGTCTAACCCTAAGCTTTACATCCTTATTGACTGTACTAATTAATTACATTTGGTCTTTAAAGATTCCTTCCAGCTCTAAAGACTCAGGTTTCACATCTGGAAAATGGGGATCTCATAGACCCAAGAAAGTTAAACTCACTTGGAAGGCTTAGGCGGAAGGATCTCCTGAGCCCAGCAGGTGGAGGCTGCAGTGGCTGTGAGCATGCCACTGCACTTCAACCTGGGTGACAGAGTAAGACTCCCACTAAAAAAAAAAAAGAAAAGAAAGTTAAACTCAATTCTAAACAACTGGTACCCAAGCCTATTGATGCACAGCTTATTGCCCTGGGTGGCTTTCCTGAAAGGAACAACAGGAAAATTAGGAGGCCCCAACAGGGAGCTCCCAGGTAAACCAGTTAAGACATGGCTGCTAAGGGCCCCATAGGGCTCTGCTATCCTGGCGCTCTGAGTTCTGAGCTAGGTCTCTGGAATGATAGGAGGTAACAGGTCACACAGATCATGGTTTCTCCAGCTACAAGTGGCAGCATCTACACAGTTCATTCTAGAGTCATCTGCTCAACTTCCTGGCTAATTTGCTGCCTATTCCATCAGGTCTGTGCATTGGTCTCTGCAGTTCCAGCTCTGTTCTCAGCTGTCAAACTGCAACCCAGCCAGCTCCATCTCCACTGCCCTTCTGGGAAGTCTCCCAGGAAGCTGGATGCCTGGTTCCTTTTGCAAACTCCAATTATGCTTTCCTCTCTCACTCATTCATTAAATATTTGTTGAATACTTAAAATAAGCTCTAGGCCATGTCTTCACAAAACTCATGCACTAGTGGATGAGACAAAGTCCTAGCTAGAGAGTTGCATGGTATATCCCAGACTGGAGAAACCTGAGAGGCTACAAGAGGCCAGGAGGGACCTGAGTCAGCCTGGAAAACAGGTAAGTTTCTCTGAGGTGATATCCAAGTCAAGACATTGAGTTTTAGCAGGAGTTAGCCAAGTATGACACTACTAGTCCTCCATTTTCCCCTTCTTTCTTACCAGTGTACCAAGTTAGAAATATTTGCCACAACCCACTCTCAAACGACTGGAGTGCTAGTGATAGTCTGTATTTTGACCTCAGTGGCAATTACATGTTTACACAAATTTGTAAAAAATAAAATTCATTCAGCTGTAGCTTAACATTTATGTTCTTTACTACAAGAACAGTATATTTCAATTTTAAAAAGGAAATGAAAATGTCTTTCCTCCCCAGGTTCCCTTGCAGCTAAGGATGGCCATGTGAAGGACTGGCCAATGAGAAGTAAGGGAAGGTCTACTGGGAGGGGCTTCTTGGAAAGCTATTGTTTTCCTACCTGATGAGACAGACTCAGCCCTTTGTCCATCACCCATTTACCCTGCGTCCTTCCTGGAATATGGCTGCTGCAGCTAAAACAGCCAACCAGAGACCTTGAGGATTGTCTTAATTGGATTCCTTCCAAGAAAATCTTGAGATGAAGATTCATATGATACTGCGGCTTTGAAAATATTTCCAGGAAAAATGTGTTTGAGAGTGAAGAGGTGCACCAGGAAGAGAAGAAGTCAGTAGTGGTGTGACATCAAGTGAAGTCTCACAGGGCAGTTCTAGAGACAAGTGCAGGAGGGACACATACATTCCCGAGTGCTTTAGGCTCTCCCTGTGTATAGCCATAGCAGGCTCTGGAAGTCTCAGGGAAGCCCCGGATACCTGCTGGCAGGAGAGAAAATACACCAGGAGCTCATGTGCACAAAAGTAAAGGATAACCTGAGGGGTTCAGGCAAGGATGAAAACCACACAAGAATGGTGGAAGAGGAAGTGACAAGGAGCCTAGGTCTTCAATGCCATTCACAAGTAGCTGCACCTGACCTGGCTTGCCAAAAAAAGGGAAACTTCTCTAGTGAAGCCACTATGATTCAGTTTCTGATCCTGCAACTAAATTAAATCCTAACTGACCTACCAGGTAAAGAAAGGGGAGGAAGTGTTGTTCATGGAGAGGGAACAGCATGAGCTAATCCTCATCACAATCCTCAAAAGTAGGTATTGCTCCCATTTTACAGATGAGGAAAATAAGGGCCATGAGGAGACACTTGGCCCAAGAGTCACACAGCAATTTAGTAGTAGGCAGGATTTAAACCCAGTGTATTCATTATCTATTGCTGTGTAACAAGTTACCAAAAATGTAACAGCTTAAAAAACACAGATGCATTGTCTCACAGTTTCTGTGGGTCAAGAATCTGGGTACAGCTATCCTGGGTCCTCTGCTTCAGTTTCTTTGCTTCATGAGGTTGCACTCAAGGGTTTGGCCAGGGTGGGAGTCTCAAATAGAGAAGGATTCACTTTCAAGTTCACATGGTTACTGGCAGAATTTCAGTTCCTTGAAGGTTAATGGACTGCATACCACAGTTCCCAGCTGGTGGTTGACTGGAAGTCACCCTCATTTCCTTGTCTTTCCGGCATGGCAACTTGCTTTATCAAGGTCAGCTGGAAGTCACAACCTTAAGTAACCTAATCACAGAAGTGATATTTCATCACTTGTGCTATATATATATATATATATATAGAGAGAGAGAGAGAGAGAGAGAGAGAGAGAGAGAGAGAGAGAGAGAGAGTATATACACATACACACACACAGAAGCAAATCAGTAAGCCCTGCCCACATGCAGGGAAGGGGATTGCACAAGTGCATGACCATTAGAAAGCAGGTATCATTGGGAGACATTTTAGAAGCTGCTGCCATACACAGGTCTACTCCAAAAATTTATTTATTTTCTGCAACATCAAGCTTACTCTGTAGGTAAAGCTTCATGGGTTAAAATGGCCATTTCTGGACAGAGATTGAAAGAGAATTTGGGGGCAGCCCATCCATGGTACATAAAGGACATGGATAACCCTTTGGTCCAAGACATCCATAATGCCCCCCCACTCCCATCACTCACAAATTCCTCCAAAACTTCACTTACCTCCCACGACATGATCTAAGGATGAAACCAGATCCCAGTTATGTTCTCTTCTGCCCTTGGGAAATAGATTTGTCTTTCCTCTTTTTTGAAAACCACCTCTCCAGCTCCAGGGAGAGTTCCTGAGTTTTAGGGGAAGGGAAGATTGCAGACCAAGACCTAGGCCAGGAAATGGGAGTTACATGGATGCATGAATTGGTAAAAAAATAAAAATAAAAAACAACAAGCTGTTTTGCAAACAAAAATTTTTTTACCATAAGTTTACCACTTATGGTAAAGTGTACAAATGCTCAGTTACTGTTGAATAAATGTTTTCTTTACAAATGTATGGATCCATGTAACTGCCATTTCCTAGCCTAAGACTTTGCAAGACTTTGCAACCTTCACTACCCCGAAATAAAAGATTTTCTCTGCAGATCTGCCTCTGTTTCCCTGCCGGAAAATGAGGGAATTGGGCAAGATGATCACTAAGCAGCTCCCTGCTCTACCGTCTTACTTTGAGGGGAAAATTGAAGTGGTGCAGCCTAGAGCTGGGCTGTCCAACATGGTAACCACGGTCCACATGTGACTACTGAACATACTAAATGTGATGAGTCCAAATTCAGATTTGCTACAGGTGAATGTGGTAGGTAGAATTCTAAGGTGACCCCCAGTATCCCTTGTCCCTATGTAATCTCTTCCTCTTTGTGTGTAGGTGGAGACAGAAAGGAGACTGTCCTGGATGGGCCTGCCCTAATCAGGTGAGAATTTTTAAAACAGAGATTTTCTCTGACTGGTTACAGGAGAGGAAGTCAGCACTCTGGCATGCCTGAAGGCAAGCAGTCATGCTGTGAACTGCCTACAGGCCATGTGGCAAGGAACTGCAGGCAGCCTCCAGGATGAGATTGGTTGCCAGCAGACGACTAGCAGGAAAAGAGGGACCTCAGTCCTACAAGCCACAAGAGAGTGAATTCCACCAACAATCTGTGAGTTTGGAAGAAAACCCCCAAACCCCACATAAGAACCTCAACCTTGCCTAGGCATGGTGGCTCATGCCTATAATTCCAGCATTTTGTGAAGCTGAGGAGGGAGGATTGCTTGAGCCCAGGAATTTTTTAGACCAGCCAGGGCAACATAGCAAGCCCTCATCTAAAAAAAAAAAAAAAAAAAAAAAAAAAAAAGCCAGGTGTGGTGGTGTGTGCCTATAGTCTCAGTTACTTAAGAGGCTGAAGCAAAAGGATCGCTTGAGCCCAGGAGGTTGAAGCTGCAGTGAGACATGATCATGCTACTGCACTCCATCCTGGACAACAGAGTGACACCCTGCCCTGACTCAAAAAAAAAAAAAGGGGGCTTCAACCTTGATTGACACCTTGGCTTTATCCTGAGCAGAAAATTCAGCCATGCTGTTCCCACACTTCTGGCCTGTACAAACAGTGAGATAATAAACTTGTATTGTATTAAGTTGCTAAATTGTGGCAATTTGTTATAGAGCAATAAAAAGCTAGTACACTGGACTTGGGAGGAAGTAAAAAATGAAAATGTAAAATATCTTATTGATAATTTATTTATTGATTCCATGTTGAAATTATAATATTTTGGATATATTAAGCTAAATAAAATATATCATTAAAAACACAATTACCCTTAAACAACACAGGTTTGAACAACAAGGGTCTACTATATGCAATCTTTTTCCTAACTATACTGCAAAAGTTTTTAGAGATTTGTGTTAACTTGAAAAACCTCACAGATTAACCATGTTGCCTAGAAATCTTTTTAAAAATTAAGAAAAAATAAGATATGTCATGACCGCATAAAGTATATGTAGATACAAGTCTACTTATGTATCTGATCAACAGTAAGCTATCAGTAGTTAAGTTTTAGGAAAGTCAAAAGTGATACTCAAATTTTCGACAGCACAGGGAATTGGTACCCCAACCCCTGTATTGTTCAAGCCTCCACTGTAATTTCACCTGTTTCTTTGTACTTTTTTCAAGTGTTGTTGCCAGAAATTTTAACCAACGGCTGGGCATTGTGGCTCACATTTGTAACCCCAACACTTTGGGAGGCTGAGGCAGAAAGATCACTTGAGCCCAGGCATTCAAGTCCATCCTGGGCAACATAGCAAGATGTCATTTCTACAAAAAAAAAATTTTTTTTAATAGGTGTGTTGGCATGTGTCTGTAGTCCCAGCTACTCAGGAGGTAGAGACAAGAGGATCACTTTAGCCCAGGAGTTTAAGGCTGCAGTGAGCTATGATCGTGCCACTGCACTTCAGCTTGAGGGACAAAGCAAGCCACTGTCTTAAAAAAGAAAGAAGGAAAGAAGGAAGGGAGGGAGGGAGGGAGGGAAGAGGAAGGAAGGAAGGAAAGAAAGAGAAAGAAAGAGAGAGAGAGAAAGAAAGAAAGAAAGAAAGAAAGAAAGAAAGAAAGAAAGAAAGAAAGAAAGAAATGTTAAATTACATATATGAGCCGGGCTCAGTGGCTCAGCCTGTAATCCCACGCCTTTAGGAGGCTGAGGTGAGTGGATTGCCTGAGCCCGCGGGTTCGAGACCTGCCTGGGCAGCGAGACCTCATCTCTACAATAAAAAAAAAAAAAAAAAATTAGCCGGGCATCGTAGCACATGCCTGTAATTTCGGCTACTCAGAAGGCTGAGGTGGAAGGATCGCCGGAGCCCGGCAGGTCAAGGCTGCGGTGGCCGGGAGCGGCCACTACACTCCAGTCTGGGTGACAGAGTGAGACTCCAACTCAAAAAAAAAAAAAAAATTACATATATGACTGACATTATATCTATCAGACAATGCTGGCCTAAAAGATTCAGAAGCGAGCCATGTAGCCATGGGCAAGTCACCATACCGCTCAAAGCCTTCCATTTATCTGTGAGACAGGAACAATAACATCACCTATCCCAGAGATATATTTGCAGTTTGAATGAGATGAGTCCTGTACTGGCCCAAGGTAAGTGTTCAATAAACATAATTATCATTATTATTAATAACAGTATTTGTGAAGTCTCTGCATGCAGGCCCTAGTCTTCAGTGCCCTCTACCCAGCTAGGCACACAGTATATACACAAAACACAATACACACATGTCTGGAGATGACACAACCTTCACAAAGCTCATTGGTACTGTTCTTTGCCCTCACAACACTTAGCAGGTGGGAATTAGGAATCCCTTGGCAGGTAAGGACACTGAGTTTGGGGGCACAAAATGTTCCAGGTCAGGTCGGAGCTCACCTGGGAAGAGCCTGGGGCCTCCAGGGAGATGAGGGCACGCCTTTTACGATTCCCTAGCTCAGATCCCTGGAGGCCTGAGCAAGAGACTGGGGCTCATCTGGAAACAGGGGGATTTAAGAACCTGTCCCTGTCAAGTTTGTGTTAGGAATGACTGAAATAAGTCACCAGCAGCAGATGAAGTAGCCTGGCACGTCCTAAGCACTCAATTAAGCAAACAATTACTACTGTTGTTCCTTTGCCAGAGAAACTTCGGCTGAAATCCCTCTGGGGAATCCCCATCCCCTAATGACCTCTCCTTCCTGGGTCCCCGCCTCGGGAGAATGCCACGGTTGTTGGGCCCAGCCTCCAGACACCACCACCCCCACCCGCGTCAGGAATAGAAACCGCCGCCTCTGGCCGCCCGCGGCTTCCCTCCCTCCCCCGGGCAGCGATCGATAAGGCCTCAGCCGCCGGGGACGAAGGCAGACAAGGAAGGAGGAAGGAGGGGACAGCGGGGCCATCCGCAGCAGCGAGGGTCGGCGGGGCAGCCAGGGTAGACGAGCCTGAGCACAGCCAGCGACTCCTGAGCCTAGGCGCCTTCGGGGACAGACGCGCCTGGCGCCCCGCGACAGGTAAGGGGCCTCCCTCGGGAAGGGGCGTGGCCCGGGCAGGTCCTGGGCGGCCAAAGTGAGAGGCAGGACTGCCTCAGGTTCCCAGTGCTTCGACCCCTCGAGGCGACCCCCCCCCCACACACAAGGAGAGAACAATGTGGGATGGCTCGCTCAGGGGAGACCTCGGTTGGTCCTGTTGGCTCACCTGTGAAATGGGATTAGAAAACCTCCCCTGCAAAGTTGGTGCAGGGATTAAACAGAGTGGGGGGAGGGGCCAGGGAAGTGACCAGTAGGTACTAGGTGCCCAAATTAAGTGGGTGGAGAGTCTTGAATGAAAACATCTGGTTCTAACCTTCATTGCACCATGGACTAGCTGGGGAATTTTGAACAAGCCACTTAATCTTGCTGATTCAGATCCTTGTCAAGAAATATTTGTTGAATTAATTATCCCACTTCATAGAGCAGGAAAGTGAGTTTTAGATAGATGAAGTGATTTGCACAGTATCTTGCTTCTTAAGGACGATGGAAATGGATTAGAACCTTCATCTTTTGATGCCATATCCGGGTGGAGGTAGGAGTGTAGTCGCATCACACACATGCTCATTGTGCACTAATTATGTGCCAGAGCTGCACTGCTGATAAACACCCTGCATCATTTAATCCTCACAGCCTCTCATAGGAAGTACGTTTTCCATTTTACACATGGAGAAAGTGAAGCCCAGAATGGACCACAGATCTGCTTAAAGTCAGCATAGTAAGCAGCAGACTCACGCCTGACCCGAAGGAAGTAACAAGGGATTAACATTTATTGAAAACCTACTGTGTTCCAGGGGCTTTGCACATATACTCACAATAACAGTTCATCCAAAGTGCCATTATAGAGGTAAAAAAGCTTAAGTGCAGAGCAGGAGGAGACTGGCTTGAGGTCACACAAGCGACAGTGCTAAGATGGAACCCCACCTGCTTAACGCCAAGCCCAGGATAAGTGAAGGGCACCTTGGGCTCTCTGCCAGGCACTAGGCCAGGTGCTTGATGCACACCCAATCCCCTGTCCACTCCTGGAAGTAGTTATTACTGAACCCACAATGCAGATGAAATTACCCAGGATCAGGAAGAGAGACATTAGTCCTCAATTCCAGCAGAGCCAGAAATCCATGGGTATGAATTCTTCCAGAGCATCCACTAACACCAAGCATTTTCCATAATCTGCCTTAATCCAACCATCCCAGGGGATAGGAGCTATCATCTGAATTGTGCAGAAAATTAAGACTTGGAGAATGAATATCTTTCTTAAGGCCCAGGGTACATCAGGGGTGGACATAACCCCAGGTTTGCCTGACTCCAGAAGACAGTGACAGAGGTGGATAATTTGGCAAACCCTTTCTGCGAGCCAAGCCCAATAAAGACATTAGGTCATTTAATCTTTTGACCACACTTTGAGGTGGATATTTTTCTCTCCATTTGACAGAGGCTCAGAGAAGTAATGTGACTTGCCTAAGGTCACACAAGAGAGCCAATTTCAAGGTCAGGTCTGATTGGCTCTACCAATGCTTTACAGAGTCTAAACCAGTAGCTCTCAAACTTGACCATGTAGTTGAACCACCTTACAAGCTTGCTAAAACATAGGCTGCTAGACCCTACCCCTAGAGTTTCTGATTCAGTAAATCTACGGCAGGCTAAGAATGTGAATCTTTGACATATTCGCAGGTGATGCTAATGCTGCTAGTACGGGGAACACGCTTTGAGAACCGCTGGTCTAAACGGAGTCTCCCAACAACCCCAGGTGGTAAGTATTATCATCACCATTTTGCAGAGAAAGAAATTGAGGTTCAGAGGGCTGGCATGTCTAGGATCCCACAGTAGGCCTCTGGTGTACATAAATCCAAGTGTGTCCGCATAAAGGAGACATGCCATATGAGCACCCACCAGGTGTCGGGACACCCTGCCATTCTGTCACTTTCGTAATCCTTCAAAGTGGATCTCAGTAGGTTTTCCGCGGGAGAAAAACGAAATGAGGGTGGGAAAGGTCAAAGCCAAAGTTTCCTTGCTGGGAGATGGGAAATATTCACACCCAGGGCTAACTCTCTGAGTCTGGAGGGTACCTGACACCTCCTGAGCGCCTACTGCATACCAGGTGCTTCCCACAGCCTCCACCTCCCCGCTGGCTGGATGGAGCAGGGGATCTTAACCCGGCCTTCCTGGAAGGGAAGCCCGGGGACTCCCTCAGCTCGCCCCTCGGTGTCCGCAGGCCGACGCGAGTCAGCCATGGAGAGCGAGTCCCCGGGGCCGGACACCGACAGCGGGGTCCCCTGGCGGCGAAGCGACGAGGCGCTGCGCGTGAACGTGGGCGGCGTGCGGCGGCTGCTGAGCGCGCGCGCCGTGGCGCGCTTCCCGGGCACGCGGCTGGGTCGCCTGCAGACCGCGGCGTCCGAGGAGCAGGCGCGGCGCCTGTGCGACGACTACGACGCGGCGGCGCGCGAATTCTACTTCGACCGGCACCCCGGCTTCTTCCTGGGCCTGCTGCACTTCTACCGCACCGGCCGCCTGCACGTGCTCGACGAGCTGTGCGTCTTCGCCTTCGGCC